AAAAAAAAAAAAAAAAAATTCAAGTCAGCAGCGGAAAAGCGGAAATCGCGTTGGACTTAATTTAAATAAAAATTGAAGCGAAAGGGAAGTCAGAAACTGCTACAGAACTGACCATAATGTTTTTAAAAAAACACAGATTAACATAACAGGCAACGTAAAAAAAATATAGTTGCCATATTTCCACATGGTTACATAGAGCAACTTGGAAAAAAGCAAGAGTGAAACATAAAATTGCCAATTTGTCGTGTACGGTTACGTAGAAAAAATCGGACGAATGAACACTCGGGACGAACAACAAATAAGCAGAGTGGTATAAACAACTAAAAAAAAAAAAAAAAAAAAAAAAAAAAGGAAACAAAAGAATAAACGGATAATCATAGCTGTATTCATATTTAAAACGTTTGCTTATTTATGAGCTTAGCCGTGTATACGACATTGTACACGTTCGCGCGAACGCGAAGCTGAGCGAAGTATTAAAACTTATTGTAGTTCTGTACAGTATTTATTGATTACGCGCCCACCAGCGCTATTTTGCGATAGAAATGAGGAATTTTCCCCCACCGAGTTCAGCGCAGGGAAATTTACTCAGGCGCAGCGCTAATATATACGCGTGAACGTTTGCGCTAGAATTGCAAACTGCTTAAACCTATTGATCCTGCGCGGAACGCAAAAAAGTCTAGGTGACTACTAACGCGAAGCTAACTCGGCTCTGTTGTAACGTAGTAGTAGAAGAGGTACGCGCGCCTTTCACAGCCCTCAATTGTAGCCCTCCAACATAACCCTCTACCGTACATTACGTTCGAACGAGGGTATTATGCCCATATTTATAAGGTTATCTATGTAAGCCCTTCTTCCTCCCCCTGCCTACCCCCTGTTGCAAATTGTACACTATGCTTAGGCCTCACCACAGCAGTGTATATTCGCATTAGTGTCATTGTAAAAGTGATAAACAGCAAGCTTATCTGCGGCACAAACGTGTGAGATTACCCCAAAAAAATAATCCGCGGAAAAAACAAGAACAGTGAGAAACAGTACGTAAGGGCCCAACACGTGTGTAGAATATTCACACAAGGGCGCGAGGGAAAGGACTTCTTCAAAAAGACCGGGGTGAACCAAAATGAAGAGGACGCTGGTACTGGCCCTAGCCATCCTAGCCTTGTTAAATCAGGCAATCCTGGTAAAATGCGCATCCGTGTTGGGCATAGATTTTGGAAATGAGTTCATAAAGGTGTCCATTGTGTCGCCTGGAAAAGGTTTCAACATTTTATTGAACAACCAAAGTAAGAGAAAAATAACGAATGCAATATCGTTCAGTAGCAAAGTGAGGACCTTTGACGAAGAAGCCAAAATATACAGCGGAAAACACCCACACCTAACTATCCACAATGGGAACAACTATTTAGCCTACAACATATTTAATGCATTGAAAAACAAAGAAAATTTTAATGTAGAAAATTATGATGAGAGTACTGAAGCTTTTTACGCAGATGTGAATAATTACCAATTTCACAAAGAGGATGATGCCACGACTAAATATTTTGACTACGATTATGTTGTAGATCACAAGAGAGGAACCATCAGTTTAAAATTAAAAAATGATATGGTTCTGTCGTCGGAAGAAATTACAGCCAATATATTGGGCTACATAAAAAAGCTGGCATACAATCATCTCAATGTGGATTATAAAACGAAGAGGGCAGTAAATGTACATATCGGATGTGTGATATCCATTCCGTGTAATTATCCTCAGAGAAAGAAAGAGGCTCTTCTGAATGCAACAAAAATAGCAGGGCTAGAATTACTAGGGTTAGTGAATGGAGTAACAGCTGCTGCTATACACAATGTGCATGACTTACCTTTGAACACAACCAAATTAACCATGTACTTGGATGTGGGAAGCAAAAATATCAATGTGGGAATAGCAACGATTAGCCATGTAGAGATTGATAAAGTGCGAACTAGAAGTGTTAAGATGTATGCATGTGAAGCGATAGAAAATAAATCAGGAAATCAAATTGATGTCATGTTAGCTGAACATTTGAGGAAGAAATTTGAAGAAAAATATAACCTGTCCATTTATGACGATAGGAAAGCCATGCGCAAATTAGTCCTGGCAGCTAATAAAGCAAAATTATTGTTAAGCGCTAAGAAGTCCACGGATGTTTTTATAGAAAGCTTGTACAAAAATAAAAGTTTGGTAGAAACAGTTACTAGACAAGAATTCGAACATTTAATTGAAGAAGTCATTTTAAATTTTAAAGTCCCAATTAATAATGCCCTTAAGAAAGCTTCCTTCGAGTTGAAAGATATTGAAGCTTTAGAATTGATTGGCGCTGCATGGAGAGTTCCCAAAGTATTAAATGAAATCACCGCCTTTTTTAATCCCCTAACTGTTGGTATGCATCTCAACAGTGACGAAGCAGTCACCATGGGAAGCCTGTACATTGCTGCCTACAACAGTGCAAATTTCCGTTTGAAAGATTTGAACTACACAGATATTTTATCTAATGAATATCACATAGTAGTTGGAGACGGTAAAGAAAACCAAACATCCGATGATCAAAATACCCCCAAGGAAATTATTGCATATAACTCCAGATACCCTCTTACAAAAAGCGTCATATTAAAATATAGGGAAAATGTAAAATTTACCATTTTGGAAAATGGAAAGGTACTGAATGAATATTCTGTGAACCCTATTGATGAGGCGACGAAGAAAAAGTACGAAAATTTCGGCCCTCCTAAACTGAGCCTCTCGTTTCAGCTGGATAAGTTCGGAATTTTGACCCTGGAAAATGTTTTTGTCGTTTATGAGGAGGAGAAGAAGGTAGAGGGTAGCGAAGAGACGGCCTATGGGCAGGACAAAAAGGAAAACTCCAATACAGAAACGAGTGAAGAGGCATCTGGGGAGGTGAACCTCGATGCCACTGAGGCGGGGGAAGCCACGGATAAAGATGCGAAGGACAAAGAGGGCACAAAAACGGATGGAAAAAAACCCCAAGTGGTGAAGCATTCAGTGAAGATGACCTACCAAGTGAGAAACATAAAGCCTGCCCCCCTGACCAACGAAGAAGTGAACGAAAAGAAGGACATTTTAAAGAAGATGGACGAACATGATATTGACATATTCCTCAAATCGGAGAGAAAGAACAAACTTGAATCTTTTATTTACGAGTCCAGAAGCAAAATGAAGCAGGACATATTCAAGCAGGTGTGCAAAGAAGATACTCGCACAGATTACCTAAACAAATTAGAGGAATATGAAGAGTGGCTTTACACTGAAAATGATGAACCCCTAGAAAATGTAAGTAACAAAATAAGAGAGTTGGAAGATATCTATTTACCTATTAAGGAAAGAGCGGAAGAATTACAAGTCAGGGAAAAGCTAATCCAGGACACGAACGCGAAAATTAAGGAAATGCAACAAAAAGTGTTAGAGTATACAGAAGCCAAACCATGGGCCGAAGAAACCATTAAAGTGGTGAGAGATTCATTGGAGAAAGCAGTAGAGTGGTGGAAGAATGCACAGGAAGAACAAAAAAAATTAGATAATTATTCTGCTCCATTCTTTAAAGCCAAAGAAGTAGAGTTGAAATTTAAGGCCATCAATGTGTTAGTCAAAAGTTTGGAGGAAATTAAAAAACCTGCCGAAAAGAAAGACAAAAAAGGGGAACAAAATGCTGGATCCAGCGCGGACGATAAGAAAAAGGGTCCCAACGATGATCAGCAAAGCAAGGATGGATCACAGAGTGAAAACTCAAATGAGAACAAGGGAAGTACCGAAGACAGTTCCAACGAAAGCAAGGATGGAGGAGCTTCCCAAGGTGAAGATGGCCAACACAAGGACGAATCGGGTGCCAACCCAAACGAGTCGTCAGGTGAAAAGAGTGGGTCCCAGGAACAGAAGGACGAATTGTAGTAAGAGGTCAGAGAAGCGCATCGCGCGTTCTCCCTGACTTTTTTTTGCGTGGCCTTTTTTTTTTTTTTGAGTTCCGATCGGAAGTTTGGCAAGGTTAAAAAATGGGACACAGGGAAATGGAAAAATTGCAAAATTCATTAACTCGCAAAATTGCCAAATAAATAATTATGTGGTGGCGGCCAAACCTTTTGACCGAGCTATGCGCGTTCACGTGGTGAGTGGCTGTTTGCTTCGCGGCCTCTTCATAATTTACGACGTCACACTTTGTCGCACTTGTAGCTTCGCGACGCCATCTTCGCTTTGTTGGCTCCCCTTGTGAAGCCGCATTGCGTCACGCCTCTCCCCTCTCTTCATTCTAATATGTGCCACTCCCTCACCGTGTCCCGATTTTATATTATTATTTTTTTTTTTTACCGTAAATTTGTTTGCATCCATCTTTACCTCCCCTTATGCACGTGTGTATATATGTTCTCCCCACTGATCAACACTTTACTGAGAATTTCTCAGTTCACTTAAAAATAATTTTGCCATTTTAAGTTTAATGGGATCCTTATTAGTTGTCTATTCAGTGTGTACATTCCGCACAGACGCTTGGGACGAATGAGACGTGTGGGTTACCCAAGCCGAATTGGCTACTGCGGGTGCGCACAAGGCTACAAAAAGCTTATTACGCCAAATGATAAATCTCCTTTTTAGCTGCGTACCCGATGCGTGTGTCGTAAATGAGGTATGCAGTTCGAACATGAGCGATAAACGTGCGCCGACGTAGACTGTCCCCTTACCTGTGCGAACAAACCCAATGATCCTCCATAAATTGGGATAAAATGTTGAAACAATCAAGGGCCGATTTTCCCCCACACTATACGAACATGCAAAAAAGACATTCCTCCTCGCTGCTAACATGTGTCATTTACCAGTTTAAGACAAAAGGCAAAATGAAATCGCATATAATTGAAAATTCTTCCCCGTTTTTTTTTTTTTTTTTTTTTTTTCAAATTTATTAAAAAATTACTTTAAAAATTGGGAACAATCATTATTATTATCATTCTAATTTAACAATTGAATATTTTAACAAATAATTAGATGGTGTGTACAAATGCACACAGGGTAAAACAAGGTGTAAGTGGTATATTCTTGGGTGGGGGTGAGAAAAAATTAACAAAAGAACAAAAGAAAAAAAAAAAAAAAAAAAAAAATCGTCATCATAACTTGCCATGAAATAAGCTCATGAACAAGCACGATTTCACCTTCTGAAATGGACATAAAAAACTAGTTCCACTTGTGAACCATGTGTCTTTGTAACCCTTGCCCTGATGGCGCCAAAGTCGTGTACAAATTGCCCTTTTTATTACACCACCCGTTCCTCCTTCCGGTAGATATTATCCTCATTCAGGGCCTTATGATTATCTAAAATGAGAAAAAAAAAAAAAGGGGAGGCACATCCAAATGAGGGCATACTCAACTGTTGGCAATGCACACAAGTTGGTAACAAACGCAGGTGTTGCTGTACATCCATTTCGTTCACGCAGAGATAAGATGATGGCACCATTGGGGGAAAGTTTTTTCCCAATTTTCCACTTTTTTCGATTTTTCCTCATTACTGATAATGTTTAGGGTTACATCAGGGTGCACCGGAAAAGCACTGTTATTGTACATATGAAAATACATCTGTTCATTTGGTATGAAAGCGGTTGCGTGCAAGTTAGGAAATGCTGCTCTCGGTGATTTGTTAATGTTTGCCTCCCTAACATGATTGCTATTCATGGCTACGTTGAGAAATCCTATATGATCATTAGGGATTTTATGAATCGACATGATATCCTCTTTGTAAGGAGTATTATTGTAATGGGTTTCCGCTTTCTTTTCACAGCTTGTGCTACATTCAAGAGCAATCTGCGATTCTACTATGTTTATGCTTGGCGTAGTTTGAAACCCTTCACAGTGATCACCACTTTGGTCTTTCTTATTCCTGAGTCTTCTTCCATTTTTGACCTTCCTGATGTTACTATCACTCGATTTGTCATTCTGATTTTTGTTCATTTTACTAGTCCTCTTTTCGTCACTTTTTTTTACGCTGGGGTTGATCTTCTTATGCATCTGGGCGTGGTAGTACGAGTGTCTCGGGGGTGTATACGCGTGCGGATCGTCTACGCTCTTGTTGTCACTCCCGCCGGTGCATTGTATATTGCCTCCATTGTTGGAGTATGTTTTTTGCTTCGACAATAAATCCTGGCTTGTCATAGAAAGCGGGTTCCCGCTTTGGTCCAAAAAGTTGCTGCTCTGTTCCTGTCCATTCAGTTGGCTCGTTTGGGCTGTTTGCATAATGTCGCCCGATCCGTAGCTGCACCCCCGATCGAAGGCTTCCTTTCCACCACAGCCGTTTCGAACAACATCCTCACTGTAGACATTTTCCAAATGGAAGTTACAATCCCCTGCGACGTTATTATTATCATAACGCAAGTGCGTTTCGATGTTGCTGCTACGATCATCAGTTGGGTCTTGTTCTCCATTTCTCCCCTTTTGGCACTCATTCATGTATTCCTCACAGTTCTGGTTAGCCTGAACCATGCACTCATTTCGTGCTTCACCGTTATCATGGTTATGCATACTATTCTGTTGCTTGGTGCTGCCAATACAGTTACTTCCACTACTGCCGGCGCTAACTCCGTTCTCGGTGTTCACATAGAACATGCCCGATCCCCTAATACAGTTGTTGTACAATGCGACAGGCATGCCAAAGTGGGTTGGAGGTGTACCCATGCCGTAGTTATTTAAAAGAAAATCTGCCTCAATATTTCCACTTCGCATGACCCCACCCCGGGTATGGTAGCCAAATTTGTCACTTAGGCAATTGATTGTGCTGAAGTGGTTAGGGGATGTGTTCCTATGGACACTAAATTTTTCATTGAAGTTGATAACGTTGTAGAGTTTGTAATTGGCATTGTAATAGTCGAGGCAATGGGGGTATTGCTGCGGGTGTAATTTGCCTCCGATCACACTACCGTTGTCGCAGCTGTTGCTTCCGACTTGAGTGTCTCCCCCGTCGTTACATCTTCTGTCAATGGAAGACCTCCTCCCATTGCTACTTCGGTCGTTCTCAGAACTTCCCATATCGTTCCTCTTGTTGTAACTTCCCTTGACACTTCCAAACTTATAATCCTCTGCGCACTCGTAGTAAAATTTTTCGTTATAAGGCGACCCCTCATTGTAGGGTTTCTTCTTGTAATAGCAATTTTGCCACACCTTGCTAGGAGAAGCGGAGTCTAAGGATGTGCTTAGTGACAGTTGCCCAGAGATGCTATGTGGTGAAATGCCACTTGGCGATAAGCTATTTTTTAAAAAATCTTTTTTCGCATAATTCGACACATTACATTGTTCATCATAAAAAGTACCTTCCTCTGGGGCACTTGCTCCATCTACACTTGCATCATTACATGGGTCCACGAAATTGTTATTTTTGTTGCTATAGTCTACATGGTGCTGTGGCGTTGTCTCCACGTTGGTGCTATTTACAGACCTCTTCAACTTCTTATTACGTGTATTTTTCTTTTTTAGAGTATCTAGGACAACATTTTTCTTTTGCAAATTTCCTTTTTTCATTTTTTTTTTTAGGACAAATTCTTTTCCTTCGGACGTGGTGGTTGGATCATTGCTACCGTTGTGCATTTGGGGTTGTGTCTTTAAGATGACTCCCTCGTCCAGCACTCCGGCACTACTATCACTAGCGCGGTAACACGCACTGTTGTTTAAGTTATCCCCAGTCAAAAGGTTACTCATCGGATTGTCACACAGGTCATGAAGAAAAGGAGAAGTGCTCCCAACAAATTTAGGTAACATGCCATTTTTAAAATTTATAGAGCAATGGTTCAAATTAATAAAGGTAGGAAAAAAGGTCATAAGGGAATTATAACTAGGACCATTATTTGGTTGGTTTATTTCGTTTAAAAAATTATGAGACGGGTACGCACCACTACTACTATTATTACTATTATGACTACTATTGCCTGCTGCTTTGTCATGACTTTGGATGGATACACCGTTAAGAAATTTTTTACCTTTTAATGGAGTTTCGTTTACATATGCGCCACTATTGTTTATTGTTTCGTTGGCACCGCTATACATAACGTTGACAATATTTTGATCATTATTACCGTTGATGTGGTAGACCGACTGGATAAAGGGACATTCGTTAGGATCCTTATTGTGGTAGCTGCTGTTCATTACTGCGTCTTGAATTTTTTTCAAACTTGTGCTGCAATTCGATGTGAGCATATCAATAACAGTTTCGCTGTTTAGGCAGTAGCCCACCTGTCGGGGGGTCTTGGATTCGTTGCCACAGAAGTAATTATCTTCGATACTGACTTTTGTGTATTCCCTCCTGTTGCTTCTGATCGGGTAACTGTCGCTATGGTGATTTCCATTATTGTTGCTAACATTATGAATGAAACTTACGTTGTCGTATTTACTCATCACAAGTGATACGGCACTTTTGCAATTGTTGTACAAATTCTTAGAGCTTCTATTTCTGGAGGCTTTCTGCACAGCCATGTTGACGCAATATGTGCCGATTTCATTTCTCGTCGATCTGCCTCCGTCTTGACACATGTTGCTGACACTTTTATCATTTTGTACAATTTTATTATAACTGCTATTACTGCACTTTTTGGTGTTACACGAGCGGGTATTAATTCCGCTTAGGTTGGCGGTACTCCCATGGTAGTTACTACTTTGGTCTTGGTTGGAATCATTGTTATCATTGATGCTATTGTTGCTACTCTGATTACTGTTTTTTTTTCCATGTTCTTTTCCGCTTCCTTCATTTCCGTTGCTGTTTCCACCAGTGGACCCTCCTCCGCTGGTGCCACCACTATTTCCCCCGCTGCTTCCAGTATTATTCATGCCGCTTCCGTTTTCATCATCGTCATCGTCGTCCTCCTCATCATGTACGCTCATATCATCACCCTCTTCATCGTTACTATTGTCACCGTTATCGTTGTCTTCGTCATTGTCCTCCTCATCATTGTTGTTATGGTTAGCGTCATTGTGGCTATCATTACTGGCGTCGTTTTCGTCGCCATCCCCGTCACACTGGATGGTATGTCCTACGTTGCAGGACCTCTCTTCATCATTGCCAGGGTTACCTGGGTCGTTATTTTGTGCCCCCATATCGGATCCAAGTTGGAGGCCGCCCATGTGAACATCCATTTGTAAATCCATTTGTACACCCATTTGCATACCCATTTGCATGCCCATCTGCATACCCATCTGCTCACTAATCATCCCCCCATTATTATTGCTTTCTCCTCCATGAAGATTACCGTCCCCTATATTGATATTATTCCCCCCCACGCAGTCCATTTGAGAAACATTTGGCTGATTCCCGTTCCTGTTGTCAATCAAATTGTAGCAATTTCTGATGCCGAAAATTCTGTACTCATTTTGATAATTGAGTAGGGACATCAAGTTGTCCACACGGTACGAGGAATAGGAATTTTGTATGGAGTTGGTAGAGTTGGTGAGGTCTACATAATGGTTTGTCTCCATGTTATTTCTGTTAGTGTCCTCCAAATTAGGGTTACTGATTTGTGGTGTGTTGGCATTATTCTTATCATTTGCTGGAGGTAATTCGTTAGTCTCTATTACTTCCTTATTTTCAATAATATCTATGGTTCCACTTTTGAAGGGAGTTTCTTCATCCACTCGAAAATTGACAACGCTTCGACCTACTTGTAGTGACATGGTATCTTTGGGACATATTTCTCTCGCTTTTCTTAATGCAACTAGTGTGCCAAATTTAGAGTTGTGGTCTTCTAATTTGAATAATCCCCTTTCATATTTAATAGTAGCATGGTATCTTGAAATAGAAACATCTGGGATTCTTACATCTGATTCATGTCCCCTTCCTAACTTGAGATATTTTTTATCGGCAAAACTGATTAGATGTACTCCTTTGCTTGTTTGTCCTATTATATTGTCGAGCACAATTAGTGGCGTCTTCAAATTGGGAATCTTCACTAGCTGTACTAGTTCATCATTTTGTTTTATACTTTTTGGATATTTCGTTTTACACAATTCACAACATATATCTTTGATGAAAACTGAACCGGAAAATAATTGATCGTTGAGATTTAATCTGCCGTTTATCCATTTTCTTAAACACATGAGATGGGCATACTTTATGGACCCTTTGCAATCACATGGGCATATCAGAGGGTCATTTTCTTGGTTTCCTTCTATCAAACAAATTCTACATTGGATATTTGACGAATCTAAAACTGCTTCGCATTTCTTCGAGGGGCAGTCGTCTAACTTTAACTGATTTAATGTATCCACGGAATCAATAAATTGCCTCACTTTCAATCTGAATCTTCCTAATTTTATAATGTCATTTTCGTGTAGTGCGTATGATTTTTCAGGTAAGTCTTTCACGATGATCCACAGTTTCTTCACATTGTATTGGGTATTTAGTGAGTGCTCTGCGGGCGTAATTACGTATTTATCCGTACCTTTTTTGGGGGAAAAAAAAAAAAAAAAAAAATGAACATCTTGATGGTCAGTCAGGCAAAGGATCTCCCGAGAGCAGCACCCCTTTTTGGTGCAGGGAAGCGTACACACATATGACATATATGCATATACATATGACAATGCACACATTGGGTTATAGACTCATTCTTACCTTCCTCTGGCCGCACCGACAGCAGGTAATCCTGCGCAGTGTTGGGTAAGGAGTGGGGATTATCAGCCACACATGATACTTGCGCCTTCGAACGAAAAAGTTTAATTGGAGTTGAAATTAAAAAACTTTTTTTATTAACTTGCTGCGCTTCATAATCAAACAGATCATGGCTATCTCTCGTCCAAGTTTTCGTATCAACTCTTAACCTGCGGAAGGGTGGGAAAAAAAAAAATATATATATATTACATATGCGAAAATGTGTACTTGTTATTGTGCAAGTCAGAGGGGCACTGTTATAAAGGTAGCATGGGAGGCTAATCATGTAAAAGTGATGCACCCTTGTTAAAAACACAACTATGGGTGAACTACGTCATGATGTACGCATATTATTTAATTAATGTATCACTCTAATTGCCCCTATTTTTTTTTCGCCCTCTACAAGGGTAACTACACAGAAAAATGCTATAAAAAAAAATGCTTCTGATTCACACACAAATTATGCAAGCAGATGTACAAAGGGACATACAAATGTGTGTAACGAAACGAGGCACATAGTGCACAACCTCCTGTAACTGCACACGCTAACGCTGCCATACACTTCGTGGAAGCAAACGCGTGTGCAAAAATGCTCTCTACATGTAAGTATTACATTTTTCCCGTATGTGTTAATGAATAATTTTGAGATATTTAGGGGGCCACAAAAAAAAAAAAAAAAAAA